TACTTATGCAAATTAACTTGGACAAGCTTCTAATTTAAATAAATGTCAGAGAAAAAAAGGGGGATTTAATCTCGAGTTTCAATTATGCAGTTGTTGGTTTATATTAATGAGTATTCCTTTTAAACAGAGTTAAAAGACCGTCTTACCGACTACAAGCTACATTTATTTCGATGTAGATGATGCTTGGAAAGTGCATTGAAATAGACGTAAATATAGAAAAAGGGGTATTTTTCGGAGATTTTCCTAAAAATGTCGGGATTAGCCAATTTTTTAAGCCAGAGCAACTGCCGCAAATAAAAGTAATGTCGTGGTTTTCATCTTCTCTCAGGAGTTTGATTCCCGGCTTGATCGATACTCGAGAAAGACTTTAAATCAAGTTATTTCTATATCATCTGTTGTACTTGACGATAAAGCTTTGCGAAGGCAAAGAATACTCTTCATTTACATTTTGTATCTCAGTTCACTTTAGCTACTCGGAGGTTTCGAAGGGTCTGCACGGGCGTGTTTTTATAGGAAATTGTTAACGATCTTAAATGACCCAACTTCGCATGCAAGGCACTTCGACACTTTAGAACTCGAATGTGTCGGTTGAACTTGTTTTGATGACATCGGACAACGAACTTCAAATGAACAAATAAATCTTCATCAGTCAGACCTTTCTTCATTTGAGAAGCTCAACTACGCACCATTTGCAGTCTTAAACATACGTTTGTTGGATCAATGTCTGTACCTGAGCAACTGCGCATCAAAAGCTTATCAAATAATCAAACTGTGGGTAATCACTTCCTTCTGAAGTACCACACAGCTTTGATGAGTACTTTTTACTGCAAGCATGGCATTTCTTCGATTTAAATTACGGATTCGTCGCACTGAATTAAACAAAACGTTGTTAAGTGATGTGCGTCAGCCTTCCTATGCGCTTAAGTTCAATCCGCTGATTAAGACAGGCAGATTACTCTGTCTGTAAGAGAAACAATTGGATGGCATTTGAAGCAGCGGAAGGGACGCGTACATTGGTTTGAAGCAATGAACTGTCGCAAGTAAATTCAAATGGAATCCGAATGAATCTGAGAGTTAATACAGTAAAAATTTATTTAATTAGGGCTGCTTGTTCACCCTTTAGAGTCTTGGAGACTAATGCCAGGGTAGACAAAGTAATCAGTGACAATGACAAAGTAATCAGTCGTCTTTAATCGGACGTTGACTCAAATGTAATCTTGTGAACAATATCGTGTATTTTTCAAAAAAAAAAATAAAATAAAGATTCTGTACGACGCAAAGTGTGGGAAAAGAATCTGGAAAGTTCTGAGTATCAGAATAAATTCTTTGCAAAATTACAGCATGCAACGAGAAAAACCTTTCATAACGATTCAAAGTATTTATTTCTACAAGCCTGGTTCTTCCTTGTTCTTCATCTTTTTGCCTTTTGCTTCCTATGTAAATATTTATTGACTGCGTTTTACAAATTTCCTTGAATTATGAGACAACAAGAGCGAAAACAGAAGATTATCCCTTGGGACCAAGACTTTGATTTTAAGTAGATTGGCGCTAAAAAAAAAAGTCCTTCCAAGGAAACTTTCATTTCACAGTAATCTTCGTAATTCAGTGCTTTTTTTTAACCTCTAACTCTCACAGCCGTTCAAACGCTTCGTTTGGTGGAAGACCATGTTTCTACCAGTTTTTTCGTCCCGATGACATTTCATCACTCTGTTGTTAGTTTATACGTTGTTTTTATTTTTTTTGGCGTGCAGCTTATTATGACTACGTTTTTCCCCTTTTTTGCTTGTCGATCTTGTCGATTGGTGACTCTGTTTTCTACGTCACACCCATTTAATGGGGAAGGACAAGTAGGAGACAGAGATAGACATAACTATTACATTATTACAAGAGAAAATAGTGGACCCATTATTTTCTATTGATGATAAGTAATGGTAAGAGGACTGAGTGGAATGCAATTCGGTCTTTAATCATACGAGTGACAACAAAATCGGACGACCGCGAAGCGGAAGTCCGATTTGTCGATCACGAGTATGATTTCAAGCAGAATTGGGCGACGCGATGTTCTTTTGCCAATTAGTCATTGCCGTTACAACTTCCGAAAAAAACAAATACATTTGTTAGATCACTGTCAGTATCTGAGCAAGTGCGCATCAAAACCTCACCAAACAATTACAAAGTTGATCACAATAACCATAGCACCAACAACTTATCCTGAAAAAATTATTGGGGGAATACCATAATGGAGGAATCTTTCCCTTTAGACGCTGTCTCTACCGGAGATGCTTGGCCTTAATGTATCTGTCCTATTACTGACAACTGTACAGAATGATTTGTGACAATAACGCAGCTAATACACCAATTGCATTTTAGCAAATTGTTATGTTTATCATTGTTTGTATTATTATAATTATCAATTCTATTATTATCATATTCATAATAAATTATTCTTATTGAATCATAAGCTGAAAAAGAATAATGCAGTTAAAGGACGTAGCTGAAATCCCCTCGTCAAAAGCAGAGTCACATGTCAATGGCAATAATATCACGACGTTTACCAAAACAAAAAACGAAGATCGAAAGAAAGAAATTTTTGTGAGTGAAGAATATTTTCTGACATTACTGCAAGTACATTACGTTACTTTGGTCTGCTTTTGTTTTTGTTCTCAACCAATTTTTTTTCTAGTCAATTAGTCAACTCCCTTTCCTAGATAAATTTACTTACTCTAGCAAAGGTACTCAGAAGAACGGAAGAACAGTGATATAATCTGATCACAAATTTCTATATATATGCTTACGAACGGGGGTAGAGGGGGGGGGGGGGGGGGAAGAAAGAGAGAGGGAGAATAAATTTTAAAACCATGAAACAAAAACTGCTTCGGGAGGGCCCAAATTCAACTATAGTCAGTAAACGTCAAATTCTACGCGCTACGGCGCTGAAAGCTATTGAAGATATCTTTTAACTTCAAGACATGTTTCGGATCGAGGCAGCCTCGACACTGCTACACTCTTGTGATTGATTCTATTCGCTTTCGTACAATCTTCAAATTTTCGCTTTGCTGTTCACAGCATATCCATACATTGTAACTTGAGTGTAAAACCGGCTCAAAGCAGCTAATCTTTCATGCTTTTCGCCGTAAAAGACTAACAATCATCGATTGAACAGCGACTAATATTTCTATAGGGACTCGATCGAGTCCGAAATCGTTTCATTTCACTCCACTTATGTTTACCTTTAGGACTTCATAATAAACTCAGTAGGGGCCAACATAACTATCTGTTTGGAACTGAAAAAATCTAATTGTTCCTACCTTCCCTGGGCCGCGGCAGACGAAAACGAAAGCACGTATCGCTTCTTTTCCTTTTGCTTTAACTCCTTTCCCTTCCCTGTTTAGGTTGAGCCATTCCTCGACGATGTTTGTGCTCTTAATATCCTTGCGAACTCAGTTCAACACAACAACTTAAAATGCTGTTAGAGGGAAAAAAAAGCATCTTTGTGGCTTGAGTAACAATTTTAACAAAATTGGGTCTATGAAAACTCACTGGCAATGAGTAAAATGTGAGTTTTTGTCGTCATCTTTTACTACTGAATGCCATCTACAATACGAAATTCTTTGTTTGATAAGAAAATTAAAAACATAAATACATAAATAAAAAAACTGCGGCAGAGCGTTTTTCGATTGAGTCACAAAACCGAAATCAAAGTAATCAAAACGGCCTATCAGAAGAAAGGAAGATACCTTCAAGAGCCAATGAGAACCTGAGTTAAAAAGCAACCAAACTGCCTAAAGCGCGGGAAAACGCGGGAGACCAACTCGTTTAATGTTTGCATCTGATTGGTCGAGAGAGCAGCGCAAATGTTTTGAACCTACATGTATCAAAGAGCGAAGTAAAGCAAAAACAATGCAATCTCACAATTTTTTTTCGTCATCACTTAGAAATTGCACCATGTAAAACGACACTACCATAATAATGGGGGAATGTTTTCCTTTTCTGCCTCTGAGTATTTGGTGTTATGATAAGATTAGTATTAAATGGGCATTTAAATCATTATTTAAGTGTAAAGAAATCCCAATACAATGACGTTCTGGGATAAAGGATCTAAAAGAAGACCGTTAATATAAACTCCGTGACGAAAATATTTAGTTTGTTACGGTGGTAAGAGAGAGGTTCTGATGACCCCCGAAAAATTAACTTTCCTTCAAATGTTTATGGCTTCCAATAAGATATCAGATATATATTTTGTTGGTGAGGAGAGTGGTCGACCATTATTGATTATTTCTATTGTTATAAAAGATTTAATAGCGCCATCGAAGCTGAATTTTGATGCAATATTTGCTTTTATCAGTGGTCGGTCTATTAACTTTACAGATTTCATGTTAATTCATCCTGACTCTCCTTTGTGCGCTTCTGACGAAAAAAGGAAAATGTAGATTTCAAATCACTCCAAGTTAACAGAGCGCCGTCCTAAATTAGAAAAAAAGGAAAAAAATGATACGGAAATGTAACCAAAGTCATCCGCGAAGCAAAGACACACTCTATTGCAATTGCCTTTAGAAATGGCATTGCAGTTGACACTATCCACTCGAGTTAACTTCATTTCAGAGGATTAGCTGCGTGACACTTTCAAAAACAATGTCACTGTTAGTGAATCTGAACAGATTTAGCCACAAGTTTTCAATTTCCTCACTAGCAATCTTTGCTAATCTTCTCCATCATTTGCCATCCTTGTTCCATTACGAATATTCCAGTCTTCCCAAAGAGGAAAAAATTTTGCTCTATGCCCAAAAGAGCACAATGCTGCGAAATACATGAACACTTGAAGACAGAGAACTTGATTAATCATTACGATATACCACACCATTGTAATTTAGTACATCATTTATTAATAAAAATATTAGAAGTTTTTCCTTACGAACTTCTTAATAAAGATCACCTACCATTTCAGAAACTAGCCTTTTTCCTCGCCATTTATTAGAACCTACTTTAACTTTTATGTCCAATATGTCATTTCTTGTACCATTTATCGATAACTTTTTCATTACGTAGTTATTTAAAAAAAAGACGTGAGAAACGACATTCTTAAATTTCTGCATAGGAGCCCCCTTTAGCTTTCAAGAACAAACGTTGACAAAAGCCGGCTATTCCTTGAAAAGTGAAAACACAGCCATCCTGTAAAAGCAAACGAAGAAGAAATACCTTGGTTCCTTTCTCTTTCTTTTTCTCTTGACAAGTACAAAATTTTAAAAAAATGCAAAATGTCCTTTCCAGAGAGTACATCAGAAATAAAAGCAATCAAACAAACATGAACTTTAGGAAAATCAGACATCCGTACCGTAACCATTTTAATGATGACCATATAACAGACTCACCTTGACTAAGACTGGAAATTCGCCCCAAAAAGAATGATTAGGGATCATTTCAGGAAAGCTGTTAACACCCTTGTGGAATTTATTATATAATAAACCAGCCATGAAATACAGCAGAAGTAATGGAAAAAACCTATAACAGAAAAAGATTAAAAATTTGTAAGATATAGAATTTCTTGGAATCCTTTAGCGTATTGTTGAGACAATTAAATTTCGGTGGGGACTAGCTTTCAGCTTTTCTTAATACTCGGCTCTCCAGTATGCAAATCTACGAACAGCTTATTTATTCCGTGTAACTTTCGTGAATCTCTAAAGCTCTCACACTGATTCTCACTGAAGACTTCTTCAGCTACAGAATTCTGACGCTACTCTTCTGCACACTGTGTACATTCTGCTAGTATGCTCTTCTTTCTCTTCTCTCCTCTCTCCTAAGTTAGCTCCAAACAACACCATGCTTATATATTCACTACTGATAGATATGGGTGGTCATGCCTGCTGGCTGACCTTAGGAGATTAAACATTTCCTGTTAAAACACTAAACCAAACAACTTTCGTAATGAACAACAAAGTACTTAATCAACGCTTCCGATCAACTGGATCAACCTCTGACTGCGCTCAGCCAAAACATGAACTTTCGTGTGGGTCCAAAGCTAAGTCAGTAAGCAAACTAAGCACATCCACTTAAGGAAGTTAGCCAAGGTTGTTACAATTCGGAAACTCATCACGAAAGTTCAAAACCTATACAACTTCGGAAATCTAATTCATACGTTGAATACAATCTTAATATAAACGAAAGATTAAATCATAGTGAAATGACAAACTAAATTATTAACTATAATTATAAACTATCTAAATACTTCATGACAGTGTAAACTTCAAATTCACCTCTCTGGGAATTTCTAGCCTACACATCCACAACCTCCCTCAAAATAATCATTGGGATCCCTTTGAGTACTGGTTTTTTAACCACAGCCCACGATATCTCCATTTGAGGGTTATATAAGTCACAATAACCTCCTTGATTAGTACGCGTACATCACCTGATGGCGACTAGACATTCATGACTAAGTTCGTCAGCAAGGTAGATTTCTATTGCTGTTAATATTATTTTCACCATAACAACGTCAATTCGTGGAGCATACTTCAACATAGCAAATAGATCTTGAAGTCATATGCAGACATCCCTGCTTAACGATTAATGATTTATAGGTTTACACACATTGAGATCAGCTTTGCGTTAAATTAGCGCGACTGCAATGGAGCGTCGGACACCACCAGGTACGAACTGAACTTCCATAAATAGAATCGAAGCTACAGTAAAAGGATCAACAATAGTATGTACTTACACTATCAACAAGATGCTTCCAATGCTAAGCCGGTTTTTTATACTAAAATCAGGATGAGAGCAGCTATCTTCACAAGCGCACTTGGACGTTAGGCTTGCAGACTATGAATGGAAATACAGCTAAATAAGACTTCACTTTGACTTTTCTTAATCAAACAAGCGAAAGAAGAAAAAAAGAGAAAAGAAGGCAGGCAGTTGCAGGATAAAATGCGATGCAAGCAAAAAAAATAAAGAAACGACAAAGAAAGAAAGAAAAAATGGGGCAATAAAAAATCGGAATCGACTTACTTCAAGCTAGTTGTATCGTAAATCGACTTACTTCAAGCTTGTTGTATCGTAATTCATTTTCTTATTTCCAAGAAAGGATTACGAATAAAAGAAACACGATAAGGATAGATTGAAAGGAAGTTAAACAAAACAATCAGCTCCATTTTGTTCGAAGGGTGGATAGCGCTATAAGCTGGTTAAATCCCTATCCATTGGATAGTGCAATACGTTTTGTTACCTATTCTCTGCTGGATAGTTATGCGTCGGATAGCGTCATCCGCCCTTTGAACAACTGAACGCAGGTAAATATTTTACAATTACGCCTCTGCGCAGTGCGTTATCATAAATACTCATCAATCAATTTTGCTTTGCACAATCTTACAATGCATGAAAGGACAAATTTGAGCAACTGGCAAAATTTTCTTGACCCAGTAATTCTTCCTTAAACTGCACTTTAGCCCTTAAATACGCGATTGACTAAAAGGTGCGATATTTAACCGAATAAGCCACAGAACAATTTCCAATCAAATGTTAAAAGTTATTCAGGATTACATTGGTTTTGTCTCTTCATGCTCTTTGACTGGACTAAAAACATTCCTCTCATCTTCCTCAGGGAACAGATGCAAAACTAAAACCAACCCCCCTTTGACTTCTCACTGGTTCCTTGTAGTGTTTCTCTTATGGACCCAATGGGCGTGGTGATTATCTTATAAACTATGGAGTTAACAACACACGTAAAAAAATATCGTATTTTTTCGCGAGTATTTGATATCGCCAATCAGCTGCTGACACGTCACTCGCCTTTCGCGCCATTCGGTCAGATTGAGGGATGAACGGCGAAGCTTTCACTATTCTCAATCCAAGATCGTTTGTCGAAAATTTTTGTGGATTATGGCTGCCAAAACACTGAAAAATCAGTATCGCTTACAGACAGTGACGTTCAAACTCTCCTAGTAGAGGAAGAAAACCAAAATACGGAAAGAAAAACCTAAAGATACGTTATCGAATGGCTTTGGTAGTGGCATTTCTCTCGGCTGAGAACGAAAATCGACAGCTGAAAGATTTGCCTCTAGACGATTTTGGCCGTGTACCCGAAAGATTTCTTCTATCGGTAAGGACCAAGTCAATAGCTGAGAATTTTGTATATTGAAAATTACGCCCACTGTTTGTTTTTGTAGCGTTGCACCGCTTTTTTCAGCTTGAGCCTTAGCGCCAACGTACTGAACGATTTTTATTCGGGATTTGTCAATCCTTTTATTTTCATACGTTAATAAAGTTGAATTCTTCTTAGTAAAGGGCTGTTGTGTTCATATAATAAACAAAATAATACATGGTTGCTTGTAGATATGAAATTTCCCTCCTCGAGTTCAACTCGGCATCTCACTCGTTAGCTGCCCTCACTCGTGAGCTATCGAGTTAAACACTCGAAGAGAAATTCCATATCTACGCGCGTTCAGGTATTATTCTCTATTCATTAAACTTTGTCATGATTTGACTGCCCTCAATCGAAAAACAACCTAACAAAAACTGAGGCCAGGTAAACGTTTCGGTTTCTTTGACATTCCCCCCTACAGAATGGGTAAAATGATAAGAAATACATTCTACTATATATATACTCCCTCACACAGCAGTTGAAAATGGTAATATTGCCACTGTAAGCAGCGTACGTTGAATTGTTTCTTGAGAGAACCACGGAAAAAAGAAATAGGAATAAATAAAAGTAAAGAACAAAAGAAATACAAAGAGCGAATATCAGAAAAAAGATAGACACAAAGAAGAAAGAAAAAGACGTCGAACATCTAAAGACGAGCTCTTATCAACAAATCTCATATAAGGAGACAATAGAACTTACTGCAGTTGTTCCTCTTATGGAGATGCCATCCATTTCCCCCGGGTATTTGTTTTTGTCACACTTAAGATTGATGGTAACCTCCCTAGAACGTAAAAGATTTCTGAAGGTACAAGCAATCGTGACGAAACTACGAAAATCTGAGGCTTTCGAATTACGAGCTTGTTTTTCGAAATGCTCACTATAAGATAATATTGAAATAAGCATACCTTTCGTGGTCACCCCCTTCAATTTTGTTATAAACTATGGTGGTTGTTCCATCACTTTCAATTGTAAATTTGTTCACAGAGTTGGCATATGGGCTAGAGGACGTTGTTTCACACATCTAGAATAAGAAGATTTGATTAGAGTGTTAATCATATTTAAAACAATTCTGCCTAATAGTTACGAGTTATTAATAGTCGACCATCTATTCTATGGGAACATTAAGGCAAAATTTTAACGACGCCTCAAGGTCGATCGGTGATCGCTCGAGTCCAAAGGACAATGTACAAAGTGGGTAGCAGTGATTGCTTGTTCACGCGCGCTCGAGGAGCCCTTGCAGAGCGGAAAATGGCCCAGGCCGTGCGAATTTAGCAAACTTATGACTGGTCTAGTAAATCCATTTCCATTCGAGGGAGTGTACTAAAAGAGAGAGAGAATTTTTATATTGATATATTTGTACTAATGACATACGTGGCCAACTCGCTTTTGAATCCCGCAATGTACGCTCTACGGATTCCAGGATTTAGAGAAGATCTAGTACAAGTATTTTGCTGTGCTCACAACCGTATCACCCCAGTCGATCTGCTACTTCGGATCTCAGGAACATCTCACATAAATCATTGAGATCCAACCAAGAATAAAGTTTGATTTTGACGTTATTGTCTCATCGCATTTTGCATTGCTTTAATCGGCTAAGATTGAAATAAGAACGGTTAACTTAACTGGCTATATATTTACATTTTCATAGTTGAGAAACAAGGAGTCTGTGTTGCCGAATAGTTATTGTGATAAACTTGTAATCTGATGGTCCAGGGTACAACTGCATTTGTTATCGGTTGCCCCGAGTTCAACTCCTTGCTTGCGCTTTGAATAAAGCCAAGTGGTTTGCCTCTGACCGGTTGGGATTTTTAACCACTTCCTCTAATCAAAGGGTTAGTATTGGCTCTAAAACACCCTGTTAAGGAAGCGGCAAATAATAGCAAGTGAAAGGGTTTTTTCTGTTTTTCTCTTTTTTTTTTTAAGGATAAAGCATTTATAACAAAGGATTGATACATTTTTTTTTCTTTTATAGTTTGTAACTTAATAATTTTCATAAAAATAATTAATAATTTTCATAAAAATAATTAATAATTTTCATAAAAATAATTAATAATTTTCATAAAAATAATTAATAATTTTCATAAAAATAATTAATAATTTTCATAAAAATAATTAATAATTTTCATAAAAATAATTAATAATTTTCATAAAAAATTATGCTTTTAACTTAAGCTTGTATATCCTTTCCAGGCCGTTATTTTCCGTTTTCCCCCTGTCTTTCCAAAGCTTTACTATACTTTCCTTTCGAAATTAGAAGTGTATCAGCGAAGATTCTATATTTGAATGTCCTTATGCGGTATTTTATTTCGATTGTTTGGTACTATTTTTAAGTGTTATACTTGTTGGCTTTAAATTAATTAATCATAAATTAAGTATCCAGAATAAGTTTTAAAAGTTGTGTAATATTTTCATCATTACCACTCAGTACTGTGAGTATTTGTTATCATTACTTGTTACTACTGGCGCCAGTAGTTATTAGGCAGTTAAATATTGTAAATACTGCAAGTTTGGGCACTGTAAGTATTTTCAGTACTGTTAGCTTCTGTGTGCGGTGTTCAATTTTTCTCTGAAAGTTACATGATTGTTTTATGGTTGTTATGGACCATTGTAAACGATGCCACAAACTATTGAGAGTAATTTATATAATGTATTGTAGAGTGAAAATCGTTTGATTCTGAACTTATGTACTTCCTTGTAAGTAAAACGAAACTGAAGCAGAAAATAAAACAAAAACCTTCTCTGCCTTGAACACTTATAATTCAGCTAGAAAAACTTTAATTTGTCAAATTTTTTTTGACTCTCATTTCTACACTCCTCACTAAACTCCATTCAGACGGAGGGAACTGGGGACAGCAAAGATAAATCTGTTGCTGTCATTTAATAAAATCCTGATAACTGGTCGCGATGAAGTTAATAACTCTGATTCAAGCTGACTTGCGCAGTGCGATTCGAGGAACACCTTGCCACCTTGTGGTAGTAGAAATCGTCTTTTCAACTCCGCTACCGCAGTCGTAACGCTTAGTGACAAGAATATTTATGCCACATTAGCCTACAGAGCAAGCGTGGTTTAAGCAAGCGAGTGTTTACTACCTCCTTATTGAAAATTAGAGCTGCCATCTTTTATATTTTAACAGCAGGGGAAGGCTGGGGAGAAAAATAAATTTGTACCAGGGAAGCGACCGATGGTAGAAAGGAAGGAGAGCAGGGATGGGTGGGTTATGAGTTGATTGATTGATTGATTGATTGATTTAGGAACCGATCATCATTCATAGCCTTGAAGATTTCAGTAAGATCACATGGTTTTCGAGGGGATCAGTCGTCATCAATAGAATATAACGAGAAACTATAATAATTTGATTACAAATTAACCGCCAATGGGGGAGGGGGGGAGGGCAAAAAAAATATAATTTCTTGTTATTGGAGGAATCAGGAAAATTTTATCACGACACAACCAAAATCGTCTGATCCCCCTTACCCCCTCCACCCCCCCTCCCCCGCCAGGGATAAATATTGACCGATCTCTTACTATCTTCTCATATTCTCAAATGTACTCACAAACACATTTGAGCATCCAGCTCCTGCACTAAACTTCGTACATGGATTCCAATCAAATTTGTATAATACACCCGGAGGGCTCAGAACTACAAGGCCTTTGAAGCTGAAAAGGAGAAAAAATGAGCACCTTGCTTAGTCACCTTGCTTAGTCACCCGGCTCCTCTCTAAATGACGAGCTTTCTCCGGGCGGTCAAATTTTTCTTTAATCGTCTTTGAAAGAGGAAGGAGAAATGTTTCAACAATTATAACCAGGATTGAAGATAGTTTCAAGCAAATAATTGGGTGAGCACCGTTCATTTATTGGAAATATAGATACTCGACTAAATTGACTAAAAGCACTCGATCTAATCATAGTTTAGGGATTACAGCACATCTGCGTCATAATTTAACTGATTAGGATGTAACCCCTTCCCTCCTTCCTACGTCATTTTATTTTTTAGTTCCCAAAATTCCATGAATTTACCAGGACTCTTATGAAGCTCTGTACATTCACAAATATCAAAAAGACACATCCAGCCGTGGGAGTGATTTACTGCAAGAAAAAGAAAGGAGGACTAGCGTGACAACAGTTATCCAAAAGGATTGCGTGACAGACGATAGCGCATAAAACCTAAAATGTGCGTGACCTTAGCGTTTTGCTTATATGTTTACTAGTGAGCGAAGCTTTTTCTCTCTACTTTCCACCATGATAAATTCAAAACTTTGCTTTCCTAATCACCAATTCGATTTCATTCTGACCTTAAAATATTTTATAATCAGGCGAACCTTGACATTCAACGTTCACTTGACAACGTGCAGTGCGAGAGACATTTATAGTTATTTACGACTTCTTTAATTAAAACCTCTGTAATTTTCTATCAATCATTTTTCAAAAAATATCTGATATTAATGAAGGACTTATATTACTTACGCTGGTTCCTTGGAACCTCCATCGATGCCCCATAAACTGATGATCTTCCCATTTTCCTTCCTGCACGAACACTGGTCTAACATTTCACATACCTTGGTCACAACGTGTGTTATAGCAGCGAGCGAAATAACAATCAACATTCTTATAACGTTGCTGCGCATTTTCGTCATTATATCTCTGAAGTATTTGCCATCTAATCTCCTTAGGAGGTGCTTGTTAATAGCTTAAAAGAACTATTGACAGATTTCGGATCGAGCCGCCATGTTTGATCTTAGCCTGTCTACCACCCCCTCGGTAAAATTTTACTCTTTTCCCCAACCTTCCTCGTGTTTTGGGAACCGGGACCATTTGTGACCATTTATTACATGGCATATTTTTTAATGTATATTAAATCTGGAATATTTTAGAACTTGACTGTCATTTTGACGTCCTATCCGAGTGCTGTTTGAAGTAACTTTGGCCAAGATGGCATGGCACCCTCACTCCCACCTATTCCGGACGCTATTTGATCGTTTCAGGGGTGATTCGAATGTGAAAAGAGAGCTCTTTTTCATCGACCTTGTTAACAACCCACGAGGTGGAGTATAAGATATGGCGTAGGTAGATATGGCAGACTTTTGTCTCTCCCTTTAAAACCCTTATGCGCACGCCCAGCCAATTTACGTTAGCAACTCAGTTGATAATTGCCCTGTTCAGTAATAGATTACACATTACAGATGACGTCAAAATGGGGCAAGAATAAAACAAATTGGCACACAAGGCGAAGCCGAGTGTGTCACTGATATACTTACCACACTTCAACGTATTTTGTGATCTATTACTGTACCCTCGGCAACATGGGATCTATTTGTATAATATCATGTAATCTGTCTTCCAATAGATCATGAGAACCAATCAAGACACGTGCGTAATTCAATTCATCATAACATATACCAGAGAAAAAGGAAAGAAAAATTAAATCAGGAGAAAGCACGCAAAAACAGAATCATGTCCAAATAAAATCCATCGTTCGCTTTAATGCTAAATGTTTTAAACATAAGGTCCAATGCATTTATCTCACTGGTGTGTTCATTAGAATGCACTGAAATCATGAAATTTCTTTTAGTTTTTCATTTTTCAGTGATCTCCGACTAAACCAGCGATTTTTCTAAAAACATCTACAAGAGGGCACGTGCTTCTCTACCAATTGATCATTAACTTATCTGTTCGGCAGACTACATCAGCAATGCTGAGCACGTCTCGCCTAGAAACGACCGAAGAAAACATTGCTGACGCTTATTACATTTGATATAAGCCCTGTTCCCAAATTCTCTTACCAAGAGACCAATCAATATTTATCGCACGGAGAAAGGGGGGTACTGTAAGATTTTAGGGGGGGGTGTAGGGGGATCAAATGGTTTTCAAGGAGAACGGCGAGGCCATCAGCCGTCGAGATGAGAGTGTAAAGGGTGGATTATAGAAACTTTACTGCCAGTGAGAGGAGATCATTAGAATTACAGAGAACCTGTGTGGGGGGGAGGGGGGGGGTGAGAATCAGGTAAATTTTATTGTGACACAAAAGTCTCCGTTCCTCCCTCCCCCTCCCCCCCCCCGCAACAGATGATGAGCGGTCCCTGATTATTTTTTACTAATAATTATTATTATAATAATTATAATAATGACATGATAATGATAATTATAATGATAATAATAAAATAATTATAATAATTAAACATTTATAAGGCGCTAAAACTATGCACATATCCAAAAACAATTTACATTAAACTGGGCATTATAAACGAGTACTGAACGCTCTCCTGAAAAGAAATGTTTCTTAAAAGTAGCAAGGCTGCTACAGAATCTGATTGGTAACAGCAACGAGTTCCATAAGACTGGAGCAGCATGAACAAAAACAGGGCCACTGAGCTATTAAAAAAAAAAAAAATTAAAGGCATTTTTTTCCTAAACCCTAACTTAATCTTCTAGGCTGACCACAAAAGCAACGCATAAAAAGTCTTAACTTATAGCGTAAATTACCCTACGCGTAAGTCACATAATAATGCGCACAATGTTATCACTGAATTAAAAAAAAAGGAAAAGAAAAAGAAATTAAAATATAATCTTATATTTCAGCATAAGAGTCCCCTGTGACCTTCATAGACAAACGTTTGCAACAGCCAGCTATTCCTTGAAATGTGAAAACACAGCCATCCTGTAACAGAAAATGGGAAAACGGAAAGTAAAAAGTGACGAATCAGTCTTCACGGGTCAACAACACTTAAAACCAATGTAGAGAGAAATGAGGCAGATTCTTTTATGAGGAAGGAACATAGATTTGCCGCACTACCAACATGAGGTTTATATGCCCAGTTGATAATAGCACTTAGACGATAACTGAAAGGGAATGGTTTGTTCCTCGTCGATACCAGACTTTCCTAAAATTACCAAGTTTTCCGCAGTGATATTGTTGCAATTAAACTCTGAAGATCTTGTGTTTTTAATGTCATCCTCACATACAGAACATTATTTATTTCAAAACACATATTTGGAAAAAGACATCATCTGGATTATTAATGATATCTCAAAGATGAAAATGGGTACAGTGCACGTTCGCTTTGCTTCAGTGCGAGCCGTAGACTTCGCACATAAAATCGCCTGAACATTTTGACCAAATCTTAGCATTTAAAATAACACTTTCATTTCAAGAAAGTTAAAATCTAAAGCCATTTTATAAAGATTTGAAAGAAATTTAAAATAAAACAAAACAAAACAAAACAAAACAAAAATACAATCGTTTCGTATGCAATTAGATCCTTAGTTTTAAATAAAAACAAAACATTCCTAGCTTAAGTGGCTATTCCTTTGCATCATGTAGGTTTTCCGGGCTGATTTAGGGCTGTTTAGCTCGGTTTTAGTCCATCTGTTCTACTCTTTTTAGAGGGCTACCAGATGATTTAAATTAAAGAGGCTATCAAATTTTCGACACATATGGCTGCATTTTCATTATGAAGGTCGAACCCCTCTCAATAGAAAACATGTTTAAATTACCCAAACAAAAAAACAAACAAACAAAACAACAAAAGGAAACACTTCAACGATTTCACTTATCTTACCATAGGCTCTAGACTTACCTTAACCAAAAACGGGAAATCGCCCCAGAAAGAATGATTAGGGATCATCTCAGGAAAACTGCTGACACCCTTATGAATTTTATTATATAACAACCCCGCGATGAAATAGATCAGTACCAATGAAAAGAACCTACGAGAGAAACAGCAAACATTATTACTTACAGAAATCCCCCAAACTAAATATTCTTAAAGTCGGCATTGAATTATTTTGACACGGGATCCCTTTGGACAGAGAGATCAGAATTCACGGAACATTTTTCCGAAACTGCTAACGATACCATTTGAAAAAACCGTCCACCCCAGGGAGACAAGGATGTTTAAAAGAGATTCCGTGTTGCCGTATATCTGTCCAATAATAAACCGACGTCAAAATATGGTAAGATAAAAAATGTGGCTCACGAGGCCCAGCCGAGTGTGTTACTGATGTTCTTGCAACATTTTGGCGTCTTCAGTGATCTATTACATGAAATGTAAACACCCATAGCAACATGGTACCCAAAATCAAAACGTTGTTTATGGTGACGTAACCAATGCGTCTGTCCTCCAATATATCATACGTAACAGCCAATCAAAATAATGAGTGTATAATTCAGCGTATTACATGTATATAAACTTTAATAGATATTCTAATAAAGTTCGGATATAATGCGTGCTGTCATTGGTTAAAAGAGCGTGCTCTATGAGAATTTATACAATAAGCTCAGTTATGCACGCATTCTGATTGGTTCTCACTTATGATCCATTGGAGGACAGACGTATAGATGACGTCATCATTAAAACTTTTTTCCCGTATATTTTAATTCTTTATCATATTAAACAAAATAGATTTCAAGTTGCCGTGCGTCTGTTCAGTAATAGATCACAGAGGACGTCAAAATGTGGTAAGAACATCAGTGACACACTCGGCTTCGCCTTGTGTGCCACTTTTTTCTCATCTGTGATCTATTACTGAACAGACGCACGGCAACTTGGTATCCATTTGTTAAATAGAGCATAGAACTGAGCTAAAGCTGTCACGTCATCTGCTAAATTGTACTATGTCCGACCTTTTCCGGGACTTCTTTCAAGCTTTTCTTTCGTATATTGAAAGTGAAATTTCGGAACAGGCAAGCAAAGGTTTGCTAAAATGCCAGGCGCAGTAATTTACGTTACTGTAACGTGAGCAGAAACAAAAATCCTCAAAGATAAAACAAAATAGACAGTCCGAGTTTTAAAGGTTTTCACGCTCAGTTAGATTGCAAGTTTACGAACGGTAAAAAAAATCAAATACAGCTAACACTTGTATGGTATATAAAGTTTCGTGTTCAAAAATAAAACAGAAAAAAACAGGAATGATGAAAAATAACCTGGCATAACTGTTAAAATTCATACTAATCATGACGGTGTCAGAGCGACTGCGATCATGCTGAGGCCTATTGCGGCTACCCGAGTCATCATGACGATCTTCGGTCATCGCAGTGGAGCAAGCCTCAGAAACTAAATCGACTACCCTTCGAGTGGAAAAATAAGACCTTGCTCTGATAACCTTTCCGATGCGTTGAGAGTTTTATGGCGCTGTCATTCCGAGCGATCTTCATGTCCTAGTGAATTCAGCAGTCGTTCATTCATAAAACACTCGCCTTGAACAGTTTGTTTTTTACTTGTCATGTGAAATAACTTGCGTATTTTTTGGGGCCACGATTGGGCCGAATTTCACTGAACATTTCACTTTCAGATTCTGTATTAGAAACTAAAAAACTTTAGGCAAAACTGTTAAATTCGACATGCCGCACTATTTTAGTTTGTAAACTATTGCAATCAAGAAGTACGTAGAAACACTCGACTTCGTCTCGTGTTTCTCCCTACACTTCTTTCGTGCTCTAGCCGCTTCCTAAGTGCTCTACAACAGAACAGAGCACAGTCAAGGCTTCTCTATTTGTTAAACAGGCAACCATCAATCACAAAAAACACAGTACTTGGTTCATTGTGTAAATGGATAATCTGGTGTCTTCAAACTCTTTACGGTGGCCAATTTAAATCGTCAACTCAATTGATAACACTAAAGTACCTTGTAACACTTTCCCAAAGACGCAGCGCCACACTTTCTTTTCAACACTACCCCCCTTTATTCATTGCATAAATGCATTTAATTTGATCTAAGCTGAAAGGTTGAGTTACGGATGCTGAGTCGCCTTACGTACACTATGAGAAGAATGCTGCCAGTACTTAGTCCTCCACGTCCTCCACTCTCGATACAAGCATATTTGGTACTAAACGTTGCTGTCTTTGGAGAAAGGAAACCAGAACAGTTCAGTACATTTATAACTCTTTGCACCCTAACTTCAGTATGCATGTTCTCCATACTGTTCTATATACATTTCCTAAAGTGCCAAAGAGGAGAATTTATGCAACAATCAAGAGCGTCTTTAGTTGGTGATCGTTTTCTTTATTCTCGTGACCTGAATGTTTGATTCAGGGATGATTAGCGAGGAGAAATTAGATGCTATTCACGCTTAGGGGTTTAGGGTTAAAGCAAACAGACATCTGAAAACAAAGGGGAGGGGAGAATACGAGAAGGTCTGAGATAAACATTACATAACAAAAAAAAAACAAAATTAAAAAAAAAAGCACCACAAACTGAAAGAGTCATGGCGACTTCCTGCTCCATATCAGAAAACGAACATCATGTGATTTCAATCCTTTGACTGACTCTCTTTCTCGATTGGCAATAGATGCACATACATACACTCCAAAGAAGCCTTGTACTTACATACAATGACTTTTTACTAGTAGTCATGTCGTCCTCATGAAATGGACTAAACTTTCCCCTATCTTGAGATTGGTCACATTTCAACACAATGATTGCTTTTCTAAGAAGAAAAAAAAACAATCAATTGCCATCATTCTTCCCTAATTTTTCTCTCATTTTTTTTCTTCATTTTCCCTCATTTTTTTTTCTTGTTTAAACACCATGCACTAAAGAGCCTCACCGCCCTGAAGAGTGCTCTAATTTACACTGTGACTTTGGATCTCAGCTTATTGCTGAAGTATTTGAAATTGAAATTTCATCCTCCCATTTAAGACCCGACAAAAGTCTGAACTTGATCATAACAACAGCTCTCTCTATGACAGCTGGGGAATACTTGTGCCCTCAACTGATAATATATGTAATTTTTTCAGCTGAAGCAACACAAGGAAAAGTTTGGCACGTTTACATCCTTTAACTTGTTCCAGTGGTTTCACAGAAAGTCTGCCCATATTGTAAATATTTTTTAAAAAATATGCACAAGTAGGTAGTATCATAAAATAATCGAACAAGAGCATAGTGAACAAGTGAGATTTCTGATACAAACCAAAACGTGTTTAAACACCAAACCGACAGACTTCAATGGCAATATATTCAAATCAATCATGATTAGACATAACGTTTCCCTCACACGTGAAAAAGGCAATACAGGCCATTTGATTGGCTCTCAACTTCTTGAAATGAATGAAAATTTCTTTTCAGTTGCATCTTTCCACAATGTAAATTTCAGAATGTAAAACAATGATAAATAAATTAAGAGTAAATGTCAGTAAAAATCAAGGAAAATTCAAAAAACGTGGCCACGGTCAAAAAATCGATTGCGCTCATACTTTGTCAGTTTGAAGGCCTAGGTAAGTAACTGAAGGATATGAGGTTAGTTTTTTGAAATATTCCATATAACGGCAGAAAACCACGAAAAACGGTCACCCTACCGGAAGCTCGGATTTCACCTAGCGGAAACTCGAAATTTTACACTTTTCAGCTTCTCGCTACACAGACGTTTACATAGCTGTAAATCTTTCTTAAGTATAATTGAATTCATTGATTCTTCCTTAGTCAAACCATGGGAATTATTTTTATCTCTGCTTATTTGTGAGCGAACTGAGACCCGATTAAGAAGACACACTTTTCTCATTTACGCGAAGGTGTAAAATAATCCAAACTCAGCGACGAAAAAAGCTGACCGGTAGTTCTTCAAATCCTCTGATATTATAACCAAAGACAGTTCAGTCATTGATTTTTAGGTCTACGGTTTTAAATCTTTAGGATCTAGTAGCACTTTTGCATGAACGCCGATCAAAATTCGATAAAATTCCAATTGAGCGCCTTTGAAATCTACAACTCTACATAACAAAGCACTATTGAATAAATTAACTCATCGGCCAAAGTTTGTACATAAAACATAAGGGTTTTGCTTTTTTAGCGGTTTGAAGCGTTTTAAAAATATATATTAATGTTAAATATTGTCTACACAGGTAAAACAAACTATGAAACACCAAAATTACCACGAGCTGAAATTAAATCTCACAGGCTCGCTCCCTAATCTGCGTCACGCACGAGCGACTTAGCTACAATTAGTACAGTAACAAACAGATATTTACATCCGTTGATTTTTAATAAGTCGTATTTTTAAAATATCTTACTCAAAGATGTGCCAGGTTTCCCAGTTAACTTGCTGAAAAAAAAAGAAAACCTTAATAGTAATTCTAGCTCAATAATAATTGATTTTATTTAGTATGAGAAGTTTTGTGCCGTCGAAAACCAATCGGAAGTAACTGTTTCCACGAAAAGCAAATATTGCATCGTTCTCTAAATAAACAAATCTACTTAACCATATAACCAGAGTATGTTGTTGGCGAAGTTAATAGACATACATAACAACGACGTCTTGCTCGTTCTTGAATATTGTCGGTGGGATTTGCGGCGCAGACGAACGCACTTGCTAAGTAACTTCCAATGGCTAATTTCTACCCTTACTCAGCTTTCGTCACACTGCTCACGCTGTGTAACAAGGATATAAAACATCGCACGAAGTCCTAAAAAACTCTCCGGACTTGAACCAGAATTGATTTTAGCAGGATTGCGTGTTTTTAAAAGCCAACGAGTTTATTGGAGATGACTACCCGTAACGTCTCATCGTGTCACTTAGGCATAACCTGACACGATGTCGATAGTTTCGACTCCTGATGGCCGAGAGCACTCGGATTTGTACCCAATTCATTAACCAGCTCCCAGTTGGCTTGTTAGCTCAATTGGTAGAGCGCTGCACCGGTATCGCAGAGGTCATGGGTTCAAATCCCGTACGGGCCTGAAATTTTTTTCAGGTCCTACTTACAACTACTAGTTTCAGTAGTGTTCTTACCTGCGAGGATCTTCTAATTTCATCTTTCCACCGCAGTGCAAATATGTGAATTTTCATATATCTAAAATCTTCATTCACTCGGATGTTTATTTATACCCAATTCATTGCCAGTTGGCTTGTTAGCTCAATTGGTAGAGCGCTGCACCGGTATCGCAGAGGTCATGGGTTCACATCCCGTACTGGCCTGAAATTTTTTTTTTTTTTTTTTTTCAGGTCCTACTTACAACTACTAGTTTCAGTAGTGTTCTTAGCTGCGAGGATCTTCTAATTTCATCTTTCCACCGCAGTGCAAATATGTGAATTTTCATATATCTAAAATCTTCAAGCACTCGGATTTCTTTTTTTCCGAGTACGCCTGTGTCACTTACTGAATAATACATCATTCTCATTTATTCACCAGGCTTAAAAATATCACATTTATTCCATTGCGCGTATGCCACACATGACATTCCAATCCTAGCAGTATGCAGGATGTTTGTCCCATGAAGCACTCGGATTTTTTTTCCGATTATGCCTGTGTCACCTACTGAGTAATACATCATGTTCAAAAGTATTAATTTTTGCACCATACAGGAAGTTGTTTCGGGTCACTCAGCAAGAGCTGTGAAAAGTAGCCGCACTGGAATAGGAATATATTTTTTCCAATCCATGAAGATATTTGACCTTTCAAAATAGCTCGTCCCTATGGGCTCAGGTAAATAACAACTAAAAAATGTACTACCAAGCAGGAACTGTCTCCAATGAGTTTTGTATCCTCTTCATTCTGTTGTCCAATGCGACTATTAAAAACACTATGAGTTTTACGACTTGCATGTTTTATTGATTGCGCTTGTCAAACAACACTACAGTCTGTCATTGATAGAGAAAATAAAGTTTAATTTTGACAATATTCGATGAAAAATACTAAGAATTTTCCAAAGAGGGCACCGAAGAATAAATTATGTGTACTGTCATTTTTATTACATTTAAAAAGGAGGGAAGGGGGTGGGGGAAAGGATTTAACAACCATACTACTCTCTCTCCCCAACCACCCACAAAGTGCACAGTTTGCACAGTATACTAGTGGAAACGTCACATCAACATTTATATGTTTACGTTTAATAGCACAATTACGGTCGTTGCATCACTCCAATATGGCCATAATAAATAATTCATTGGAGACAGTTTCTGTTTGGTAGAACATCAAGTAGTTGGTTGCTTACCTGAGCCCACAGGGACGAGCTGTTTTGAAAGCTCAAATATCTTCATGGATTGGAATAAATTTATTCCTTGTTCCAGTGCGGGTGCCTTCCTCAGCTCCTTGCAGTGACCAGAAACAACTTCCGGGATGGTGCAAAGATTACCCGTCCTTCGCCAACCTAAACCTAACTTGGCACGATGAACCGGACAGATAGTCATATCCGATAAATTCGCCGGCTTTTGAAAACATCCACATCTCGCCAAAATTAATTCTACCTCCATTTCAATTCCGGAAAATTTCAACGACTTTTTGTGAATTTTGATATCCCTGTTACACCGCGTGAGAGGCGTGACGGAAGTTGAAGAACTTGTGCGTTCGTCTGCGCCGCAAATCCCACCAACAATATTCAAGAACGAGCAAGACATCGCTGTTCTTTGAAGTTCCCCGACAGTAAACTCTGGTTTTAGATGCAATGTTTCACAGATAAAGATAATTGGATTTATTTATTTAAAGAACGATGCAATTTTCGTGAGAACAGGTACTTCTGATTGGCTATCGACGGTATAAAGCTTCTCATTCTTAATAAAATCAATTCTTATCGTTTCAGTTTGAATTGCTATTATGATATTTTCTTTTATTTTTACTTCAGCAAGTTAACTGGGGAACCTGGCACATCGTTGAGTAACATATTTTAAAATAAGACTTATTGTAAATTAACAGATGTAAATATCTGTTTGTTACTGTACTAATTGTAGCTAAGTCGCTCGTGCGTGACACAGATTAGGGAGCGAGCCTGTGAGATTTAATTTCAGCTCGTGGTAATTTTGGTGTTTCATAGTTTGTTTTACCTGTGTAGACAATATTTAACATCAATATATATTTTTAAAAGGTTCAAACCGCTAAGAAAGTAAAACCCTCATTATGTACAAACTTTGGCCGAGGAGTTAATTTATTCAATAGTGCATTGTTATGTAGAGTTGTAGATTTCAAAGGCGCTCAACTGGAATTTTATCGAATTTTGATCGGCGTTCATGCAAAAGTGCTACTAGATCCTAAAGATTTAAAACCGTAGACCTAAAAATCAATGACTGAACTGTCTTTGGTTATAATATCAGAGGATTTGAAGAACTACCGGTCAGCTTTTTTCGTCGCTGAGTTTGGATTATTTTACACCTTCGCGTAAATGAGAAAAGTGTGTCTTCTTAATCGGGTCTCAGTTCGCTCACAAATAAGCAGAGATAAAAATAATTCCCATGGTTTGACTAAGGAAGAATCAATGTATTCAATTATACTTAAGAAAGATTCACAGCTATGTAAACGTCTGTGTAGCGAGAAGCTGAAAAGTGTAAAATTTCGAGTTTCCGCTAGGTGAAATCCGAGCTTCCGGTAGGGTGACCGTTTTTCGTGGTTTTCTGCCGTTATATGGAATATTTCAAAAAACTAACCTCATATCCTTCAGTTACTTACCTAGGCCTTCAAACTGACAAAGTATGAGCGAAATCGATTTTTTGACCGTGGCCACGATTTCTTTGATTTTTACTGACAATCACTCTTAATCTCTTAAAAGAAATCATGTAGCATGTATAGTCTAAAGCCACATGAAGGTTTTTGTAAATGGTATGGATCACTTTTATCCTTGATTCACGTTTCACAATACTTTGTTTGGTAATGGGAGTTATAAATAATATCAAATTTCTAAATCAAAGTAAATTATCGGTCACAATCAGTTACCTGGTGTAATCTAGTGATGATATAACTGGTTTGTATGTTATATTAATGCTACCATCACTGTTTTCATCAAAGCTGCTCACTGCCGTTGCAACTGCGTAATATTTGTTAGGCACTTTCTGGCATAGCTAAAAAATATAAAGAAAGGCAAAAGATAAAATGGAAATAGAATCACTAAGGAGATAAAAAACTTTTGAAATCAGGTAAATAAGTGGATTAATGCAGCTTAAGACATGCAAGGAGAGTCTAACTTAAACTTATAACATATCACAGTCTGGTTTATCAATGACATTATTCAGTTATTTATACAAAACACTTAATATACAATATATATATATACATACATACATACATACATATATATATATATATGTAAGTGTGTGTGGCTGTGTGGGTGTGTGTGTCCATGTATATATTGGTAATTGTGAAGAACAGTTACCCTCTACTGATTGCTGGCCAACTGTCAGCGACTCCTAACCGACAGGCCAGTAGCAGGCTACTGAAAGGTTACCAGTTAAACATTACAAAATTGTGATTGTATTTTACAGGTTATCAAGTCAATTTGTACCACCACTGGCCAGATTAATTGAACAGATTAACCACTAACTTTATCTTATTTTTCCAAGCTGGCTAAATGGCAGATAACTACATAGGAGTACACAATTTAAACTAGAGTTGCAAAATTCTGGTTTATCTAATTCTAAATCAGGTTGAAAATGACTCACCAAAGTATCTTTGCAACCACTGCTTGAACTGAATGGTGTGCAAGGATTCCAGTTATATGAATATGTCGACTGTTTATCATCCTTAATGCCAATGAAGCTGCATGATAATAGAGAACTTAAGTTTATATTTCATAACAGAACTAACACAAAAAGTTAAATATACATGTATGTAAATTCCATGTTGCCATGAATCTGTTTACTACATAATAGATCACAGATGACATCAAAACATGGAGAGAACAAAAAAGTGGCACACATCAGACACAGCCCAGGGTAACACTGATATTCCCACTAGAAGTCTTCTAAGATATATGACTGAACAGACACACAGCAACATGACATCTATTTATTTTACAAAGAAGCAAAACATTTTTACTGGTCACATTATTTATGTGTCTGTCCTCCGATAGATCACAAATAAGGACAAATCAAGATGCATACCTAATTTACCATATAATTTTTATATACATATTGATTTATAGTCAATTCACATGCATCCAATGTCAAATATCCTTTCATAGTACAAAATATAACTACTAATGAAGAGTCAAACAAGATTATATCCTTCACCTACATGTTAGCCAAATTCACCAGCCTTCAGCAGGATCACATACCAATAATTTATCGCCACATCACACCACTTAGTTACAAATTCAAACTTGTGCTACATGAATTCTCTGAGTTCGGCAGTCAGGTAGATCCAGAGGACGGGGTGTGTGTTAAGAATCCTGAACCACCTCCCATGAGATTTTTGGGTTTAAAACATGTCTTATCTGACACAAAATTTTTGCAATGATAGAATTGCATATTATTATTCAACTAGCTGATTTTTGTTTCCTTGATGCCGTAGCCGAAAACTAGTTGTTGCATACTTAAGTGTGAAACACACCATTGCCTTTTAGCGCAAACCAAAAGCATTGACAAGCATTCACATATTAAACAGATGATGAAAAAAGTCGACCTAATGACATGTGGCATGTAACCTTGAGAGAATTAGGGGAGGGGGGTATGGGTCCCTCAATAAATGAATTCGTACAAAACAAAGAAAAACTCTCAGTTTTCCCAATCAAAGTTTGGATGCCTTCCTTCCAAAAACTTTTTGGATCACCTTGTGTTATGGACCGCAAGTAATACTTCACATTCCTGTAATATTTCTTCCCTGGAATCAAATCAGCACTCTACCTCTACACAAATACCCCCCTCCCCCTATCATGACCATAAATACTAGCAAATTGTAATTTGTTTGAAGTATTCAAGACCTGAAGTGACAGGGATCAATGCTTTGATGCCATTATCCGAGCAACTGCCCACCCACCCTTCCCCTAAACCACCATCACCCCAACTTGTTATGAGTTGAAATTGGTTAGGTTAGGGGAGGAATAGGAGCACATTTGTTCAAATACTGACACTGATCTGTGCACAGAATCTTGAAGTTCATCAATTCAGCATGCAGTCCTTTGCATGCAACAGTTCCACTTAAAGGGGATGGAATATTTAATGACTTGCAAAACATAACCGAAGATTCTCGGAAATCCGCAAGTGATGTAGCCGAACATCAAAAGCTGTAAATCCCATGATTCTTGAGGAACAAACAGAAACAGCATAGCGAGAATTTTAAGTCGCGAACCATTGATGGTAGACATGCAGATAATTTAGGATACGTAAATTCTGTTGATGAGGCGCATAAACTTATTGCGGAATTTGAAACAGGATTGACGACGAAGTTTTCTTTCTTTAAAGCTGTCAAAGGTTTCGGGAACATATATATATATATATATTGATATAGCTCTTTAGCATTACAAAGCTTTGCTATCGCTATTGTGCATTCTCACTAGTTTATCTAGTTCAAGTCCTCTGGCATGGCTTGGATGATACCACAATTGTGGAATCATTCGGGTTAATTTAATGCTTACACCTCCTTCCTCGGACAGAAGTCACAAAATACTGGGGGAAGATGCATGAGATATTTAAGGAGCAAAAATTCGTTTTTTACTGGTGTGCCTTTCCTAATTTTGGGAAGGAAAGTGTTCAATTGCCAGCACGGCATAGATAGAACAGCTGGAGAGAAAAGGAAACGAAAAGATGCAGAAGAAGTACTGTATATAATAATTTCTTTTTATCCTCAACCTTTGTGTTTCTGTCAACTATGGCTTGCTAATTCGAAAGGTCAAATACTTGAATGGGTCATATGACATTGATCTCAGAATACTTTTATGACAAACGTGATAACAGTTCAATCTTGGCTAAATTGAAGATGGTTTAGAAGTTAACAATTATAAGAACTTTTCACTAACATATGCTGCTGACAAAGGAGAAAATATATGCAATTCTGCATTTTTTGCTTTCTATCAAGCAATCATATGTTTGCTCCTTATCACGCTATGACACTTCCGTTTTGTCACATTCCAAAAAATAACTTGAGAAATACACTGTCACTCATCTTACACTGTTATATTTACCTATTACAGAAGGCTGGAAACAAAGATTTTGTTTTCAAGAAAATAAGATTTCTTGTCCAAGACACAAGGAAGTTTGACTGCAAAGCACAGATAAAAATGCGAGAAATTTTATTTTTTTCAGAGAACAAGGTAGTTCTACTCATGTATAAACAGAACAAATGCGATTTAATAAATCAGATATGCGGCATGACTCCTTTTCTTCCATCCCCACTCAAAACAAGCAAACACACCTATAGAGGTTCCAGTCTGGTCTGCAAATGAAAAGGAGGAAGGTGATCACTGCAAAATTAAGCATTAGGGTTCTTATTTATAACATATTGATTATTGTATACTGATATCTAGAAATTAAGGTTGCAAGTAGCAGCCAGCTGAGTTATAGTTTGAGTTTTATCAAGTCCATTACTTTGTTAAATTTAGAGTAACCTTGTCTTGAGAGAGGAAAATTGAGGAGCTGTAATATACTTATCATCAATTAGGGACCACAAAGAAAAATTTATTTATAGAGACTTTTGAAGGAGAGGGGTAAGACTTGTGACAAGCTGGCAGACATATAGATAAACTTTACTGCTAAATGGGTTACAATACAAAGTGCTCAGTATTTGGATCAGCTATGGCTCAACTTAAACTTTGCTTTAGCTTCAAGTTTAATCCTTTGTGGTTTCCTTTCTCTGTGTTTATTTTTCACGTTATGTACACAGAAGAACACAAAAATGACAAGGAATGCTTTTGAATATTAAGAGGCTGGAATAAGCAAGAAACCAAAACTGAATTTTAAACAGTACAAAGTTAATTTGATCTTCCAATGTTATTTAATTTTAACCATTAATAGAATTTGCTATTTAAATTTATCCCCTCCATTTTTCTGGATATTGTGAGCAAAAACAAACAATTATCACAAAATGCATGGTATACAATGGTTTGATTCACCAATGTGGCAAAGGCCTTTCACTGTCTATCCATAAAAAGGGAAATAGTTTGTAAAATGTAAGACATTCTGCATCTTGAGCGTATACTTATTCATCCATGTGAAATTAAAGGTTACTTGAAATAAATGTGAAAGATTTATAGGATTTTCAGACCCCTGATAACAATTACTAATGTGCTGATTTGTTGTACTTAAAGGTTATGATTTTAGCGGAAATAGTGGAAGAAATTTCTGGACCTGGAATTTTGTTGCAAATGTCTGTTTAAATCAGTTTAAGTCAGTTAAAAACTCTCCTGTTTCAAGATTACATGATTACCACACCAGAACCTTTTGTATTCTATATTGTGCACCATGTTATGATTATGGTTTCAATAATAAAAGGTGCTGACTCAAGAACTTTGCAAAATATCTCTACATACAAAGAAATAGATTGTGGTTATGTACTCCAAATAGCAGGTCACATCAGTCTTCTGTAAGGAAGTAGCAGAAATTGCTATGGTGGTTTTGGTGGATGGAGAGAAACATCCACCAAAACCACTTTATTCTATGTGTTAAGAGTTATGATAATCATTATGAACGTTTGGTCGGTCAGCAATTGTGCACCATAAAAAATAATTAGCCAGAGCACTAACTGCTAATTAGTGGTATAAATCTTTTGTCTCCCTGAACATCTAACAGTGGCTATAGATAAAATTTAAAAAATATATTGTTGATGGTTTTGGTCAAAGTTTTGGTGGATGTTCCCTAATGACATCCACCAAAACTACGTAACATCTGGGCACCTTTTAAATACGTGAAATATCTGCATAAAATTGCGTAAAATGTTTTATAATACTACAATCGAACAATAAATTAATACTTACCATTTCTTGAGTAAAAAGTTTTGACGCAATTTCCCAAACAAATGATACACTTAGGTCATCGGGATAAGTCGGCATGTTGTCGTAGCTTCGTAATTTTCATTTAGTATAACAAGTCATGAGTTGTCCATCATTCCATCTCAGTCCCTCTCGACCAAGGTGGTTTTGGTATTATGGCAACACTGGCTTCCATAATATCTCACTGAATACTATAAGCTTAAGCAGGGGTTTCACGGGCCTGACACTGGGCAAATTGACTGGCTGGGAACATAATTTTTCCTGCATGTTGTGACTGACATAAATCAGAATCAAAACATATTTTGCCTGCTTTCTTGTACATTTCCCATCACCTCAAAATCTTAATGAAACCTCTGCTTAGGAAAGTAATAATTAACACTCTAATCAGGTAAAGTGACCCTAGCCATGTCGCGGCAGGAGTCTTTTTATTGGGCTTTGCAAGGTTAAAATTACAATGTATGTGCATGTCTTTAGCAAGTTTATGTGTGCTCTTGGTCTAAACTAATTTTGTACTTTTGCTTTACGAATTGTGAATGAATGTTAGAGGGACATTTTTAATAATGCACAGATAAGGTGCTCTAGGGTCCATCAGGTACAAATTACTTCATAGGTCATACTCATGTCTATAATTTTACATCGCTGCTAGATAACATACATGTACCAATTTATTTCCCAATTCCTGCCAAATTGAAATTGAATTTAGGCAAGCAACTGGCAGCTCAAACTTAAAATTATAAACCAGAGTTTTAACCAGTTAGGCCACCATAGCCTTCTAACAGGAATATTGACTTGGAAGAGCAACTAAAAAAGCAAGAAATACAATTTTAAAATTTTCCTTTCTGACTTTGTAACAAGGGCAACCTATCCTGCTCTTAAGATGGCACATCTTTTATGAGTAGGGCTGAGAAGATGACACATCTTATACCAGTTTGTGTTTGCTCTTGTCACAAAAAAAAACAGTACCCCAATTGGGGCAACAGTAAGCACTGGTAATTAATCATGTCTTATCAACAAAGAGGGCTATGGTCAGAATCATATGCATGTATCAGAACTTTTGTGATGCATTTGAATTAAAAGATACTCCACTGGTGTAGTGGGTAGAATATTTACATTCAAATAGACACATATCAATTACAAGTCCATCATTGACAATGATTGTTGCAATTATTACCGGTCAAAACTTAAAAACCAAACTGTTGACTATAATTAAAACTGATATAACATGATTTAAAAACTAAAAAAATGCCTCATAAATAACACCATTAACATGCTTGTAATAAATTAGTTGTGTGGATTAACTGGAAGGACCTCTTCAAGAAAACAGATAGGGATAACAGTAAATAAAACTGGTTTTAATCAAGTAGATTCCCTTTAGAATCTGCAAGGGCTGGCTGGTTTTCTGTGTGAGTAATTAAAATTATTATTATTATATATTTATAGCAATTCAGTAAGGGACCTCGGAATAAACTAACACACATCAGTACAGCTTTTTTCCTCTTAGTTTTCAAGGGACAATTTATGACAAGACAATCTGCATCTTACATGTCGGCAATTAAACTTACCTAACAACTGCTTTGGGGAATTACGTTTGTCAGTAAATTCATCTGCTTCTTGGAGAAATTGTTTCCAGAGCATTTAAAAGCCTAAATTTTGATAAACACCATAAGTTTACACATCATGATGTGATAGAGGATTTATCAAGCTAAATTTAATTTCAAAATTGAATGGTATATCCACAATGAAACTTTTTTCTATGCATTTGTTACAAAACATAGTACTTTTTTCTATGCAAAAGTTACAAACATTGTAAAACGCTATTGAGCTCTAGAAATGAGCGCTATATTATAAATTCATGTTGCATTGTATTTGCAGTGAGATCAATGAACATGTTAAGAGCGGTGTTTAGAAGTCTTCGTAGGTTCAAAAGGGTTCTCTTTGGCGTTAAGATAGCGATATCATGCCATTTTTTGAGGAAATGAAGATAGCAAAGAAAATTTTATTACCTTCTTTTGATGTCTTCCTCTAGATTGTCGGATTCACCAGCGAAGATGGGAAAAACCAATGCAAAGCCGACACTTCAAAATGGCGGATGCCGTTCACGAACTACGCGATCTTGATTCCAAGTAACTATGGTTACTCGCGCAGTCCACGCGAATTCCGCGAACCCCTCTGGGGGGGCACTGGAGGCGAAAATCATTTTTGACCCAGGCCTTAATTAACCTGAGTGGACAAAAATCAATATTACGCGCATATCCTGAAATGATTGGCCTCTAAAGAGTTTTTGGTGAGAGGTGCTAGATTGGCTTGTCATCGTTGGGGTTTGAACGCTTTAATAGAAACAAATAAAGTTAGCGGTTACTAAAACTAAGCAAAAAGTCACTCACTTTCAAACCCTAATCGTCCTTTGTCCAATCCTTATCACGTGTCACGATAAAGTCTACATGATTCCTCCCTAAAGCTCTGTAGTAGTATAACGATCCCCCTCATTGGTAGTCAATTATCTTTAGCCTCCCCCCCCCCTTAGTACACTGTTAGCGACAGCGAAACCCCCATCGAATTCATTCCCCCTGAAAACCACGTGATTCCTTTAAATTTCTCTTACCCCTCTTCCGCTCCCCGTGAGAAATAACGACTATTCCTTTACTGATGACAGCGTGTATCATTTGACCTATGAAAGTCTTATCCCCAGAAGCCAGTTGTGATTGCCCTGTGCACCAAGAATTTCAGGCGAAAACACTATAGAAATACCGCGATAGTAAGAATATTCAATACAAGGGAAGGTTACATATCACGTAGTACGGACTAGCACCTTGTTGGATTTCTCTTTCAATAACCCTAATGAGTGTTACTCAAGGACCAACCAAAATGGCAAACTCGGGTCGGTTTCATGCCAATGAAAATTTCAATCATGTTTATTAGATTTGGATAACTAGGATTTTTATATTTGAAGCTAGTTGCACTTCCACTTCAAAAATCTTATTCCGCCGGAAATAATGACTCTAAGTTCCTCAAAGATGAGACTAACCCATTACACCCTAACATCACTATACATATTCTCCATAATGTCATCTACACATTTCCTAAAGCACTGAATAGGAGAAATTGTTGAACAATCAAGAGCTTCTCTGGTTACTGATGATTTTCTTTATTCTCGTGACCCTGATGTGTGATTCAGGGTTCACACTGAAAGGAGAAATTAGATCTATGTCACTCATAGGGGTCGTTGTTTGAAGAGTTATTATTTGATTCTATTTTCTGACGATTACACTTGTTCGTCACCCCTTTCAATGGTACGAGATACTGAAGAACAGTCCCACTCTTTAAAAAAAACCGTTTTTCTTTTTTATTACTTCATTGTTTCATAACTTATCTAATATTCTTACATTCACCAAAATATTTCTCCAGTGTTTCTTTTTCTTTCAATTTCTAGAATACATTATTCAATACCATTTGTCGATGACTAAAATGGCTTTTTGCTAACTACATAGGAAATAATCAAATTTGCTCATCACTGCAAACTGCACGATCCTAAGAACGAAATTTTAGGTAATATCTCAACGGAATAAACGTTGCTGTGATGAACAGAAGCAGTACCACAAGTATGGGGAACACGTCCGCGTCCTTAATAAAAAAAAAAAGAAAACAGTTTCTATTCTAAGGAAGATGGTTGTTGGCTGAAACGTAATGACCCTTTGGGTGAATCGAAAACAGATTAAGCATTAATAAGCATGCAGTGAGTTTTTTAACGAAAAAGTGTGAATTATTCTTGTTGCTGATAATTCAGATAATTATCGAGTAATAGAGTAGTTTTCAATTGACTGTCTTAAAGCCAAGACCAAGATAATCACAACCGCCAATCAAAACAAAGGTTTGCGTCATCATTAGCCAATTAGGATTCAAAATTAAAACAAGCACACTTCCAAAAGCGCGGGAAAACGCGGGCGACCAAGTGATGTTGGCTTTCGTTTGGCATCTGATCGGTTAAGAGCATGGCGCGATTTTTCTAGACCAATCACAAACCGAAGCAAAGCAAAACAAAGGCAATCCCGCAAAACTTTCAACACTCAATTGAAATTACTCAATGATGTCAAGCTCATTACTCAAAACTTTGACATTTTCAAAGATAAAATCAAGCGCGGGACAAACTAACCCTTACAAGTAGGATAAAGAGAGATCACTTAACAAGCGCTACATTCTGCACCAAACATTGAACAAAGAAACCGATCAGACGAACTTTACAAAAGAAGAATCTGGGGGCTTAAAATGATTTCGTCCCGATAAAAACCAAAGACCCACTTTTCAGCTGGATTCCTATTCCTAAAATTACTGTAATCAATGGGAACGAGGAATGACAAGTTTTTGTTCACTTGCGCATTAAAAAGAAACAAAAACAAAATCATAAATAAGATAAAAGTTCACGTATCAAATCAATACTTTAAACAATTATCATTATCATTTCTGTGTTAGCGACGACTTCTTTGTCTCCTAAAAATACATATTTACATCACCATTACAATTCAACTTTTGGTTCTTATTTTTTTGGAAAAGTATTTGTCTTGGATTCAAAGTCCTTCCCGACTCTTAACAAACTGATTGGCAAGATTTTATAAAAGAATTCCCTCGAAACAAACCTAACCCAACCCACCCCACCCCAGCCCTTCTAGTGCAATCCTTACCCACCCTCACGAATAAATTTGACCCCACAGCTCACCCACCTCTTCCCGATTGATAACACGTTTTGATCAATCTTAGTCTAACAATCTCGAAAAATTGGCATTTCTACCAAAACTTCCCCACTGCGGGGCATGCAGATAATACGCTTTGTTTCCATAGGATCATAATTTTTTCAAGAAAAGATTCTTCCTCCCACCAGACCTTTTCCAACCACCCTCCCTTGCTTCCCTTAACCCCCCCCTTATCACCCCCCCCCCCCTAGAGAGACCCTCAAAAAGCAGTGTCGTCCCCCACAGACCCTCCGCTCTTCCTGTTGTCGTCAGGACCGCCACTAGTCCGATGACTCCGCACGACTTGAGCAGCCTGCAGCGAAGCTAACAGATCATCGGAGTTTTTACGGAAAGGGGGCTGGGGGTTGCGGTTTCCCTTGGGTTTAGGGCGAACCGCTGGGGGTATTTTCGGTGCCGGTGCCGGTGCCGTTGTTGTCGGAGAAATGCCCTGGGGAGTGTTATTCGCTGGAATGCTAACTTCCTCTCGTGGCTGCCACACACCTTCTACGGACTTCCGGTTTTCCTCTTTGGAAGCTTCACCTCCCCCTCTCCAGTCTTTATCCGTTGGTTCTTCCTTCTTTTCGGCTTCTTCCGCCTTCTCCTGGCTAGGTGACTGGGATTTTCTGGTAGGCGAGATGCTCCGAAGCCTTGGTATCACGAATCCCTGTTCCTTATCAGGTGTCTTATCCACAGAGTTGTCGCTCTCTTCTCTGGGCGCCTTACGAAGCCGCGTCAGCTGCCGCTTTACGATATCTTCCGATGAGATTGCTGGCACGGAGGTCTTCTTAAACGACGATGATCCTGGAGATGGCCCCTGAGAGCTCACTCCTATCGGACTTGCTCCGATGGGACTTGCTGCTGCGTGGCTTGCATGATCCGCTGTGGGAGAGTGTAAACTGTCCCTTCCTCGTAGCGAGCCCTCTCTCTTGGGGATCCTTGGAGGCAGATCCCTAGGCCTGTCTATTCCACTGGATGAAATCTTGGGTGATGGCGACAGCTCGCCGGAGATCGAGATATTCCCTTCGCCATCATTTGCATCGACATCGTCGTCTGTCAGCATACGAATGTACCTGGCTGGCACAAAGCCTTCAGTTCCATTGATTGTCCCGTCCCACCATTCCGGGTTAAATCTTTTGAACACCTGAATAATGTCGCCTTTTTTAAAGGACAATTCCTTGGAGGATCGGGCTGAGTAATCATATATCGCTTCGGCTTCCCTTGGCTCCAGATCTGCAGGAAAAAAAAGGAAAAAAAAGGAAAAAAAAGTAACCATGACTGTAAGAAAAAAGACGACGAACTGGCATGAAACGCACGAGTAATGCGAGCGCTCAGCTCGCTGTTAAATCGCGTTTTATATTAACGTGTAGGCGAGTTGCAGAGTTCGTTATGTGCAAGTGAGGTTCAAAAGAACCGGAATTAAGATAGATGGTTGCAATTTTTAGCTAAAATGGACGTGTTGACTCTAAGAATGTTTCAACATTCTATTTAATCTAAAAAGATATCTTTTAAAAGCAATGTTTTAAATGCTTTAAATACTTGACGCACTCCTCATGCTCTCTCTTCCTTCTGAGAGGACATTAAAAATCGTTCCATTCTGAACACTTACCTTCCTCGCTCTCACTCTCTTCTGTCTCAGATAATGGCGCTGGTAGCGATTCTCCAGAGCCAGGGAATATCTCGTCACAATGTTTAATAAGTAATTCTATCATTCCATTCACTTGACTTTGATAAGCTATCATGTCTTGTTCGGACGGGATACGTAACAATGTCGGGCCGAACACTACCGCCAGATTGTGGGCGTCCATCTTGTTAGATTCACTGTGCTGTGCAACTCTGCCGAGAGACGTCATACCGTAGAACATTAAATTTTGGGGGTTCAATTTTGCGAACGTATTCTTTGTTATGGGAAGTGGCTATAGAGTAGCAGTTTTTTGAAAACTTCTAGAATGCCTTGTCACGGCAATGTGGATACTCGAACTTTCTGATGTCATACCATGGAACTGCCTGGAACATTCTATTGGGTTATGTAATTATGATGTTATTTTATCTGAAATTGCTGTGTTGTAGTCTTCAAGAAAGTTCTAAAAAGAACAATTGCTGTTGTCGACAGAGACCGACTGTCTGAAAAGCTATACTGACTGAGAACTATTCAGGTCGTTTCGCCTACGGGTCGTTTCGCCTTCGTCCAGAGTCGGTTCGCCTACGATTCATATGCATGAATAACACTACAGCAGTGCAAAAGCGTGGAAAGCATGATAATTACAGTAATTTAAATATTAGGGTACAATTGCAACATTGATATATATCATAGCATTTATCCAATGTTGCAAAAAGGGTCAAATCAATTTGTCTCTCATGTTAAAGCGCGGTGAGATGAACCCAATTAACATGGTAATCATTAGAGTTCATTAGTTGTCATATCAAATTTTCATGCGATAGTTTTCGAACATCATCAATTTTTGTTTCAATTGAATCAATTGTTTTATACAATAATTGTCATAGTACGGAGTTTAAGACGTAGGCGAACTGACATATTGGACGTAGGCGAATCGACTCTAGACGTAAGCGAAACGACCGTAATTCCTTGAAAGATTGTGTATTTCGAGGAGATTTAGAGGCAACATTCACTTTGCGTCAGTGGCGAACTAAGTTTCAATCTGGAATGGGCTAAAGTTATAATAATTTGGGACACGTTGTTTAATAGGGAAGTTCGGTTTTCAGGAGAGTAGCATTCTCTCTGCCGGGTAAATAACATTGTAACATCTTCGATCCGATGAAAACCATCAACTAACAGAGCTTTTAAAAAATTTTGACTTATAATACTTACAAGCTAAGGAAAGAAAACAGATACTCCATCACTCGAACCACTGATTCAGGAAGCGAACTGAGTGCAGTCATTATTTCTTTGATACCATCTTCTACTGACGCTGACACTTCAAATAAAGAGATAGTGCATCATAATCAAAGATCCAACACAACTTTAAAGTACAAAATTAAGGATTTTTTTTTTTGGTCAGACATATATTTTCACAATAAAAGAACCCCCGAGATGGTAAACCTGGGTGGGCTGAGCACAATCACCGCAGGTAACCTTGCATGTTTTCCCGCCCTTTGCCTGGGCCTAAAACTAGTTGCTGTCCTCCGCACCGGTTGCAGGCCCTCCCGCCTTGGGCACTGATCGCATAATTACCCAGTGTTCGCAGCGGTTTCATATTTCTCACTCTTAACGCAGGTAGGACAATTTTTCACCCTGGGTACAAGTTATACATTATTCCGCATTTGGCATTGAACGTAAAATTTCCCCTTGACGTAGATTGCGTAATTCGCGCCCTTTCAAAGGTTTAGCTCGCTATTTTTTCTTGCTATGTGCAGGGGTTTCATATTTTCCGCTCTTGAAAAAGTTGTGAAATTTCCCGTTCTTCACGCTGAATTGCAAAAGTCAATACCAGTTGCTGTACAAGATCCCTCTTTTGATAAGACCTCAACAATTTTCCAATTTTTAAAACTGCTTGCTTTCCTCAGCCATGGCATCCACTCTTTCCCTCTCACCCACTATCCTTGGTTATAAGCCAGGAGGGCCTCAGTCTTCGTTAGAAAAGAGGAACTACCCTCATTTAACAATATAACGAGATACTTACAGCTAGCCTTAATGAATTCTTGATAATGTGAACTAGGAAACAGAGGATCTTCCAGTTCCCTGAAATAAACCCGGAGTAAACCAGCCACGGCGTTGATATCTTTCCAATGATTTAGACCTGCTAACGGATCACGACCTACCAAAAAAAAAAAACCGCGAATTTCAGCCGCAACGCGATAAATGTACAGAGAAACAAAACGTTCCCTAACTTTCAAGGCAGTTACCATTTTCAAAAAGTTGTTTCATGTCGTTTATTTCCGTTGTGGATCCCGATAACCGAAATATTCCTTGATGGTCCAGCCCTAAGAACACAATAAAATAAATAAAAACTGTTATGTTATGACAGCATACTTCCCAGGGCAGCAGACATAAACTAAAATAAGGGATTTTTTAAATCCTTCGAGGCCCCAGAATCGTCATTCTCTCTGACGAAGGGTTACCGCTCAAGACGTCAGCTAAAAGGGACTTTAAGAAAACCACGACGGCAACGACAACGTCACTAAACAAAAAGTTTAATGAGAAGAACAATAGCTGTGCACGTGCGTTATAAATCTTTGTAAATTTCTTTGCGTCCTCTGCAAAACAACAACGTGAAATGACAAACCTGTGTTCCATATTCAGTTTCGAGATAGTTTTGACAGTAAGAAACAAACTAAATGACTTTAGAGTATCGCAAGATTCGTTGGTAAAATATAAGTTCATTTTTTAACCGACGTTGTCTAAGGCACCGCCGCCGTCATCGTTTCTTAAACTCCCAAGAGATTCTCTCAACGGTGGCCAATTCACATTATCAAATCAGTTAATAAAACTTAATTAACTAACCAGGAAGGCCGAATTTCAAGTACTCACCAAACTTTTTAATAAACTTGACACAACTTTCTACAACCTCTGGAATTTCTCTTCCTGTAACCTGAGAAATAAAGCAAACTTGAAACAATCAATTTAACCGGCTAACAAGAGCTTCTTAAGATGGCGATCACTTCTTTTGTTCTCGTGACCTTAATGTTAGATTCAGGGATGATATTGTAAGAAAACATTAGAAGCAAGTCACTAAGAGCCGGTTTTTACACGAGATCTAACCCAAACCGCGGTTTTACGCAAGCAGTACACCTCAGGGATTCTCTATGAGAGGGCTGATTTAATTACAAAAATGTCCTTCCACTATCAGCTTTCGGCCCTCTGAACACTACTAACAAATTTAATTATTCGGATAGAAGTTCGGCTGAATTGAAGATGGCTTAGAATGCGGTTTGGTTGAAATAATCGGCCCTTAGGGTCTAAAGAGTCAATCCCCGATATCTACCTGAGGAAATGCCACACAAACTTTCCAAAAAATTTGAAACAATTACAAGTGCGGTTATTTTTCCGCAATCAGTCGTTAAGAACTGCATGATATGACTTGGTGCATGTACTTACTTTAACATAATTTTCTAGATTACATCCAAACACTTTGGCCTTCTTGTGCACAGAGTCTAGAATCGCTGAAGCTTCTTTAGAAGACATATCTAGCGCTGGTCTCTTGAGCCTTAAAAAAATCGATGAAATGAAAATTCATATCATTTTTATAATATCAACACATTATAAATGTGAAATATGTGATAAGAAAAGGAAGACTTATGGAGCAGCAGGTGTCATGGAGGCGAGATATGGGGCAGACAAAATCAAGTACTGTACCAAAAACCACGATTGCAAATGCTCGTGGTAGAAATTTAGGGTACATTTTCCAAGACAAAAAACCAGACTTTTCTCTAATACATGTTTAGACACTTTGTGCAAGCCCCACACATCCCTTAAGTCATACCCCAGCTTCGAACCCCCATTTGACGTCCTAAAAATTCTAAAAAAAAGTCACCAGAAATCAAAGTTAAGGCAAGGGAAGAAATACAAAACAAAACAAAAAAAAGTGTCGAAAGAAATTCGGGGTTGCTTTGGTTTTCTCTAACTTTGCTCTTCTCTAACTTTGCTCTGTGATTGGTCTAGGAGAATCGTGTCATCCTCTCAACCAATCAAAAGCCAAACTTAAAAGAATCGTGACTTGGTCATTCGCATTTTCCCGCGCTTGAGCAGTTTTCAGTTCTCATTGGCTAATGACTATGTAAACCTTGGTTCTGTTTAGTCGCTGAGATAGCCTTGATTTTGGACACCCAATTGAAAATTGCGTTACAAAAACACAAAGATGTGACAGCTTGCTACACGAGAAAGGTCGCCAAAATGGCTTCCTTTCGGTGCAAATATAGTCCCCCAACTTTCTTCCTTCTAACTAAGGAGATCAAAACGGCCACAGCTTAGACAGGGGAATACTACATGTAGAGATGTTGGGCAAGAAGTGTGGAAATTCATTTTTAACATCATTTAAAAATACCTGGCTCCCACAATGTCTGGTGTTACTTCACCTACGAAGAGTAAACAAAGTTAGTAAATGATTGTAAGTCACTTAACAATAAAAAAAATTAAAAAAGTAAGAAGTACTGATTACTACTAACCGAGTGTTTTGGTCAGCATATCATTTTCAGCCTCCACACGGACTTGTACACTACTAATAAGAATAAGCTCCCGCATTTTCTGGAAGAGAAAAAATATCAGAAAGCAACATAAGGAAACATCTTTTAAGTGCGCCGCATAATATCAGAAAAGAAGAGTGCAAAAATTCTGAGCTCTAAAGTAACGTAAAACCTGAATATTTTACAACAATACTACAATCGATCCCGACTGTGGAGAAAGTAAAAACACCAACAGCAAAGTAGCAGATTAACTCCTGGACTCCCAAGATATGATTGTAAATTCTCCTTTCCAGCTGCACCACATTTCCTTGTAAATTAGTTACAAGAATTTGGTGTTTGATCAAGCAGATAACCACTAACTGATAAGTCTGAGTATTCTCATTACCTGTTTGTTTGATAATGTTTGGATATTTAAGGGAGAAATTACATGTTAGTTGCTTCTGGGAGTAATTGAAAGGTTCCAATGAGGTCGTACCGTCATATAATACATCTCTAAGTCTTCACTGCTGTTCTTGATTGATTGACAGCTGCCTAATCCAGCAACAGGATCCACTGCTCCATTGGCCACTTTCATCATTTCACTGTCCCACTGCTGATGCATAGATGCAAGAGCATCTGAGGTGGCCTCCGCTGACTTTCCAATCTAAAAAATGGACAACAGTGGCTGTTAAATGCAAGGTGAAACTCATAGACATGAATGGCTTTTTAAGGGAACTACTAACTTAACTTAACCCCTTATACCCTGGCATCAGTGTTCATATTCTCCATACTGTTCTCTATACATTTCCTATGATACGAAAGGAGAATTTTTTTCAACAATCAAGAGCATCTTGAGTTGATGATCATTTCCTTAAATCTCATGACTTTTGTGCTTGACTCTGCAGTGATACCGCCAAGATAAATAAGAAGCACGTCCCTCTTAGGAAGAAAAGGGTTAAAATGTTCTTTACTTTCTTTCCTGCTCCATTTTGCGAGAGGCTTTCAACATTTCTGACCATAGCAGTGAGCAGGATGCTTATCAAATATGAACATACTACTGCCATAATCCACAACAGAATTCTCTGTAGCTCAGTAATAAAACACTGGATCACAAAGTCAGAAAGTCTAAGGTTTGATTTTGCACGACTCAGCCAGTTTTTGCCTCATGCCTCCGGCAAAATGAATGACCACATGTGTCATCTAAGGCCAAAACCAAAAGCTGTCATCTTCCTCATCCTCTTTAACCTTTTACACCCCAACATCAATGTGTAAACTCTCCATACTACTTTCTATACAGTTACAAAGATGCTGACAGAGAGAATTTGTTTAACAATCAAGAGCTTCTTTAGTTTGTGATCATTTCCTTCATTCTCATGACCTGAATGCTTGATTCAGGGATGATATTGTCTGGAGAAATTATACACTAATCACTCTTAAGGTTTAAAGGATTTAAAAAAACGTGGAAAGGAGATGTCTACGGGAAGGTAATTACAAGCTCGTTAATTCACATTTTGCTAATTTCTTTTTCATTTTTTTTGTTTGATGAAGTTCCTTAAACCTTGTTGCAATTAGGTATCACTACAAGAAAGTGTTTTAATGACAAACCTCATCTGTTTCTGCTTTTGCCCTTTGCAGTCTCTCAAACACCTTGTAGTGATGCTCTATTACATCAATTTGTTGAGGTGACACCTGATAAAGCTGTGAAATAAACATCCATACACATATTAAATATGACGCTTCATTGGTAAGATCTTGATATCACTCGCCACCGTCTGCCCTACATTTTATTTAATTTCATCTCAAGAATTTGGAGTTAGGTCACATAATATCCCTACTGGTAATGTGTAGAGGTAATCCCATGGGCTAAGTTAAATTGAGGATTAAAATCACACATGTTTTCAGAAATTGCAGAAAATTCTTGAGTCATGCAGCAAGTGACAAGAGCAATTTCTGCAACTTCTTTAAAACAAAAGTGATTTCAATCTTTAACTTTACAACAAAACTTGCTATTACTTTTTTATAACATAAATGGAAAATTTTATTTTAAAAAAGGTCAAAAACAACTTAGGCAACCTAAGAACTAATCAGTTTTAGGTAATTTTGTACGAGGAATTACCAAATTTAATGAAAAATTCCCTCTATCTCAGCCAATCAACATGTAGTAAATATGCCCTCTATACCCTACTCTGGGACTCATAATTTTTTCTTTGTTCCATGCTTGTGACAAGACACAAAACAAAATCTTTCTTTTTCTCTATTTCCTTACCAAACATTATGCCTGAGTCCCAATTACAGGGGAGTTCACAGCTTATTTGAACAAAGACTACTAGAACTACACATAATTATGCATTACTACGAAACCAGGACAAAAACATTTTAAAATAAGTGCCAAAATTTGATTTCCATCCCCTTTAAAATTTAATCTCAAAAGAAAATGATGACATTTTAATTTCAGAAACAAATCATCTTTAAAATATGTGAACATCAATCATCCGATTTTTTAAACACAACGTGGTGTTACAAGTTTATAATTGTTTTATCTTTTACTATTTTTACCACTTTTTATGTTTCAAGAATAAATAAAGACTACTACTACTATAAGACTACCACAACAAGCAGCATTATCTAAAGAGCAGAGTAGGAGTTCTGAAATTCAGACTAAGAACAGAGACCAACCTCATCATCATTGAACGGCAAGAAGGCAAATGTGAATGGCAGAGCTAATGCACCGGAGTTGTCATCAAAGAAGAACTGTTTATCTTTAGCTGCTTCCACAGTAAACTTAGCTTCACGCACAACATCTACTGACTGGTTGCTGGAAGCTGCTACATTTGCTTCTGCAGTGACATATGCCTCAACTCCTCGAGTGAAAGAGTCGTGGTAATTGTAGTCAAAAGTCTGAGTAGAAAACAAAATACAAAATTTATCCCTTTAACTCCCAAGATCTCATTAGTAATTCTCCTCACTGTCTACCATACAATTCATATAATGTTAGTTCTGAGAATTTAGTATTGGATCAACCAATCATCCCCTTATTGATATTTTACTATATTCTCATCTCTTCTCTGCTAGATATTGTATTGATATTGTAAGGAGAAATTCTGTCTTGATCACTTATGGGAGTTAAAGGGTTAAGATCTTGTTACCCATTTAACCCTTTCACTCCCAAGATCTGATTTTAAATTCACCCCTCTAGCTTACAAATAAGTGATGACAATTTGGTGTTAGATCAAGATAATAATTTCTACCCAAAAAGTTTAAGTATTTTTATTACTTGATTGCTGAATAATGATGGATATTACAGGGAAAAG